CAGTGCGACCTGATGCAGCCCCTGAAGTGAGACACAGGAAACAGAAATACTGCAAAATAATAATAATAACGCGACTAAATGAGACGAAATAACGTTATAACATTTTGTTTCATCTCGTTTTGGTCAACGAAAATGAAGAGACATTTTAGCATAGTTTTTATTTTGTAAACCACATTTAGTCTCGTTTTTATTCGTCAACAATATTGCATTATACGTTTAATTATAGTCATCGTCACATGACCAGCATTTACGTTGCGTCTCGTCTCGTTTTTGTCACGTGATAAAGGTTCATTGACGACGATATTTAGTCATAATTTTCGTTGACGAAAGCAACACTAGCGATGTGGCTTGGTAAACCTTGTAATGCCAGAATAAAGGCTACAATGGCTGAATAAAAATAAAAGAATAATGATAAAGGAATAATGAGGATTATGTGTCATACCTGGCGGAGGTGTGAAAGGTTCGTCGAGTGAGAACAACAGAATCATGAATGGGGCAGTTTGCCGGGCCAGACATGAGGCAATAGCATGCAGGAGAGCTTACAGAGGGCCATAAACTTTTTTATTAGCCTTTTATTAGCCTTCTCTAAAAACACACATGACATGGTCTCACAAAATGTTTAATAAAATGCACAGTTTTAGAGATCATGTCCTCAGATTTGGAATGAAGCATGAGTAGACTTGTGGCTTTAGCTTCATTGTGTTTCTAAAAGCATTTACCACAGCAACATAATTTTTTATACATTTAAAAAAATATTTTTTTATATTTTTATATTTGAGCTTATATATCTCTATTATCATAACAGTCTGAGTAATTCTGATTCTTGAACAGTAAACTTTGTAGTGTCAGCTTTGTGAACATATGTATCTAGTCAGAAAGACTCATGAGCAGCAACCTTTTTATTTTGGGTATGTAATTTGTGTTTCCATGCCAACAATGGGGGGTGACAGCAAAGGGGTTAAGGTACACTGGTCATACTGCATCTCAATTTGTAACAAGTTGACTGGATGATCTGGCTGGTTGTTTAGGGTGCAGATAGGGAGTTGATAGGTAGTTCTGGGTGGTCTTTTAGGGTGTTGCTGAGGTGTTCATTGGGTGCTCTGGGTGGATGTTTAAGGTGTTGATGGGGAGTTGACTAGGTGTTCTGGGCGATTGTATAAGATGTTGCTGGGGAGCTATTTGGGTGTTCTGGGCGATTGTATAGGATGTTGCTGGGGAGTTGACTGGGTGTTCTGGGCGATTGTATAAGATGTTGCTGGGGAGTTATTTGGGTGTTCTGGGCGATTGTAAAGGATGTTGCTGGGAAGTTGATTGGGTGTTCTGGGCGATTGTATACGATGTTGCTGGGGAGCTGATTGGGTGTTCTGGGCGATTGTATACGATGTTGTTGGGGAGTTGATTGGGTGTTCTGGGCGATTGTATACGATGTTGCTGGGGAGCTGATTGGGTGTTCTGGGCGATTGTATACGATGTTGTTGGGGAGTTGATTGGGTGTTCTGGGCGATTGAACAGGATGTTGCTGGGGAGTTGATTGGGTGTTCTGGGCAATTGAATAGGGTGTTGCTGAGGAGTTAATTTGGTTGTTCTGGGCGACTGTTTAGGGTGTTGCTAGGGAGTTAATTTGGTTGTTCTGGGCGACTGTTTAGGGTGTTGCTGGGGAGTTAATTTGGTTGTTCTGGGCGACTGTTTAGGGTGTTGCTGGGGAGTTGATTAAAATTATTTTAAAAATGTGCATGAAAACCATTAATCAGTATAAGCGTGTGAAACACAGTTCCCTACTATTTAAATCGCAGTTTATGCCACCTTTGTGTCTTATTTAAAACTGTCAACATCTTTTTGAGCTGCATTAACATGTAATGACTGGTCAGCGTTTGTGGTTTTAAAAGTCTGACTACTTTTTTATGGTTATCAAGAACAATCAGACAATGTTAATGTCAAGTCCTGTAAGCAGTTTCTAAAGTGTTATGAGTGGTTGCTAGAGCATTGCTAAGTTATTCTAGTTAGTTGGCAGGGTGAAGTAAAGAGGTTGCTAGATAATAAATAGCTAGATTTGCCCATATTCTGTTGAATGTCAAGAAACGAGAACTAATGTACCTTGTACTGGGTGACAGCAGCCTGCTTGTAGGGGTGATCACTCTCTATGACAGCATAATGATTTGAGGTGGTGCAAACTGATAGGCCCTGCTCCGGCTGGTTCCCAGTGGTGCTGTCTGTGGACTGGTTGGGATTGAAAGCGGGAGGGGCATATTTCTGGTTCAGGGCAGAAACAGCTGGAAGAAGTTCCTGCACCAAACCAAACACTTCCACCGCAGCCTAAGAGAAGACAACAATTAGAATTTTAAAACAGTTAGGCGTTGAGAAAGATATCATGAGAAAAAGGGAACTAACAATACTTGACTTGGCAGAGAAGACTGATCATTATCGCATCAAGAGCCAAGGTTGCTAATTACATGAAGAAAAACTCCCATACCTTAGGGACAGATGCAGCCACAGGACCAATGTATGCCAAAATAAGTGGAAGCAGCATTGTGAAAAGACTGGAGGAACTCAGGAGTTCTGGAATGTCTTCAACTGTAGAGACATCAGTAACATCAATCAATGTATATCCAACAGAGTACATCTCAAATGTTAGCAGTCGGTAAGGTTTTTACATTTTTTGAAAGAAGCCCCTTATGTTCACCAAGGCTGCATTTATTTTATAAAAAAAAAAAAAAAAAACTTAAGATTGTAAAAACTACTTTGGTGTGTCTCATGATCCTTCAGAAATCTTTCTAATATGCTTTTTGCATTTTTTAGCATATGTTTTGCAGCTAAATATTTTCAAATTTGAAATAGAAATATTTTGTAACATTAGAAATGTCTGCACTGTCACTTTTTATAAATGTAATGCATTCTTGCTGAATAAAAGTTTTTTTTTTTTTTTTTTAAAGGGGTGGTTGATTGCAATTTCACTTTTTTAGATAATTTAAAAGTGTGTATATTTTCCCCTATTTTTTTTTCTGCAATTTCCATTATTCTTAATGGTGATGGCTTATTTTATTAACATTGCAGTAATAAGAATGAGGTCATTTTTTCATTAGGTTAATTAAATGGTTATTTATCACAAATTAATGTTACAATGCAAAATGTTCATGTTTTAAGTCAAGTCAAGTCAAGTCACCTTTATTTATATAGCGCTTTTAACAATACAGATTGTGTCAAAGCAACTGAACAGCATTAATTAGGAAAATAGTGTGTCAATAATGCAAAATGACAATAGTAAACACAAATTTTTCAGTTAAAGACAGTTCATCATTGAATTCAGTGATGTCAACATCCAGCTCAGTTTAAATAGTATCTTTGCAATCAAGTCAACGGTATCGCTGGAAATGAAGTGTCCCCAACTAAGCAAGCCAGAGGCGACAGCGGCAAGGACCCAAAACTCCATCGGTGACAGAATGGAGAAAAAACCTTGGGAGAAACCAGGCTCAGTCGGGGGGCCAGTTCTCCTCTGACCAGACGAACCAGCAGTACGGAAAAATCAATTTAAGACGTATAAAACAGACGATGAACACTATTAACAGCAATTATTATATGATGCAATCAAACTTATAGCAAAATGTGGTAGTTCTGTATGTTGTTTCAGGGTTGGCATCATCTGAGGTCCTCTGAGGGGTTGGCATCATCTCTTCTCAGGTGTTCTGGATCCAGACTGAAGCTTGTGTTTAAGCAAAATATAATGTCTTATCTCTATCATATGTGACCCTGGATCACAAAACCAGTCATAAGGGTCAATTAAATTGAGATTTATAAATCAGCTTTCAATTGATATATGGTTTCTTACGATAGGACAATATTTGGCCGAGATACAACTATTTGAAAATCTGGAATCTGAGGGTGCAAAAAAATCAAAATATTGAGAAAATCGCCTTTACAGTTGTCCAAATTAAGTTCTTAGCAATGCATATTACTAATCAAAAATTAAGTTTTAATGTATTTACAGTAGGAAATTTACAAAATATCTTAATGGAACGCGATCTTTACTTAATATCCTAATGATTTTTGGCATAAAAGAAAAATTGATCATTTTGACCCATACAATATATTTTTGGCTATTGCTACAAATATACCCCAGCGACTTAAGACTGGTTTTGTGGTCCAGGGTCACATATTAACATTAGCTCAACAAATGGTGTGAGTATGGTTTGGGACTATGCTTTTTTGCAACTAATAGCAGATGGGGAAGTTTGTAGGAAGCCTACAGAAGTGATCCTCACCGTCCACAGCAAAGGCCCTGTGGAGGAGGTCTTTGGCCGCCCGCACCACCACACTGACTACAGAAAGAGCACGACTGCAGTTCTTGTCCTCTTCATTGGCTTTGCTTAACAGCTGTGACTGCAGGTCACCATCATATTCACTCCTGTAACAAACAACCCGGATCAACAAGATGCAACATTTTATAAATAAGATTTTTTTTAGGCAGTGAAAGGAATAAAGTACAGACCTGTAATAGAGAATCTGGGGGATCTGGCCTCTGGTCTGGTTGGTGCCGTTGCTGCTCAGGCTGCAGGTGCTGAAGGTGAAGGTAACTCCATCAGAGCACTGCACGGTGGTCATGCCTCCATCCCCATTGGCTGTGCGGCTGCCATAGTTCCTCAGGCGGACAGCATATTTCACATTCTCCTGCAAGAGCAACAGGGTAGGAGTGAGTTTGCGCTGAAGTGAAGTTTATGCTTCGCGTGATTCATGTGTAAAATTCACAGCACCTTCAGAGGAACAGCTTTGTCCAGACGGATCTCAGCGATGTCACTGGGGGAGTCGTCAGTGCTGTAAGTGCCTTTGACCAGTTCTAGAGACGTCCATCTGTGGGAGTGGGCGGAATCTCCAGGGTGCTCCGTCTGAGCCTGATGAAATGGGAGAGATGGACAGAACAGGAACACAGAGAAAAACAACAGGGTAAGACACTGGGACAACTCATTCACACACACTCTAACTTACAGGAATGGTTCCCCCAAAAACGAGTGTCTCAAACAGATTTGGCACCAAGAACCATATTTTGCAGAATATAAGTCACTTTTTTTTTGCGTGCATAGACAGCATATCAGTTCTAGCACTGCTACCTTCACATCGCAGCCCATTCATCATCAAACAAAAATGCAGTCAACCAAACAGTTACATTTTACAAGTTTATTTTTCCCCACTTTTAAGTGGAAAAGTGGGGGAAGTCGTGGCCTAATGGTTAGAGAGTCGGACTCGTAACCCAAAGGTTGCGGGTTCGAGTCTCGTTCCGGCAGGGATTGTAGGTGGGGGGAGTGAATGTACAGCGCTCTCTTCCACCTTCAATACCACGACTGAGGTGCCCTTGAGCAAGGCACCGAAGCCCCAACTGCTCCCCGGGCGCCGCAGCATAAATGGCTGCCCACTGCTCCGGGTGTGTGTTCACTGCTGTGTGTGTGCACTTTGGATGGGTTAAATGCAGAGCACTAATTCCTAGTATGGGTCACCATACTTGGCCACATGCCACGTCACGTTTTTTTTTTTTTTTTTCCTTTTAATCCCTATGTTTGCATTCTTTAATGTGGTAAAGTAGAAAATGGGTGAAAACCTCAAATGGAACTTTTTTTTTTCTTCAGAAAACACATGGACTACTTTTATGATACTTTTCTAGGACTTTTTGGATCTTGACAGACATGTTCACAATAAACTGTTGTTGTATAGAAAGGAACTGTGTGAAGAATAATCTTCCTTTTATGTTCCACCTTAAAAATAACAGCATGCAGGTATGGAATCATATGAGAGTGAGTAAATAATGACAGAACATTAATTTGTGTACAAACATTTCCTTTAACAGTCAGAAGTCTAGCTTCCATGTAACATCTGGGGCCGGTTGCACCAGCTGGACGTACACCCGGTTGTAAGACTAGGCTGGACGTAAAAAGGGCTTTAAGTCCTGCGTAGAATTTATACCCGTTGCACCATCTCGGCGTAGTGCTACGTCTGACACTAAATCTTACGCCTAGTCAGAGGTAGGTGTAAAGTGAAAAGTCATGATTTGCTCGGACATTATTCGTTTTTAGGATTCATCTGTTAGTTAATTATTACTGCAGACGTGACCTGTAATGTTTATGGTCTTTTCGGGCAGGATAAGCGATATCAATCGCAAAGCTCTGTGCTATCCTACCACACTGTCGACATTGAATACAAAATATTACACCCAGCGTTTTTACGTCTAGCTGGTGCAACCGGCCCCAGGTGATGAATACAACAAAAGACTTACATCATCAGCGAGCACCTCCAGCTCGTACTCATGGATGCCTCCTCCTCCGTACACACAGAAACCCACCAGCACCACCCCTGGCTTGTCCATAGTGAAACAGATGGCATCGGGGGAGCCGTTCCCCGTGTTCCAGCTGCGGCCCTGGCTGGTCTTGGTGAAGCGGTTGGGGGTGGACTTCACAGAGTGCAGGGAGTTCAGCCCGTCCACCTGCACAACAATAAAGAAGTTTCAAAAGTGTAGACAATAACTTACATTTAGTGTAGAGTCATTGCAGCACATTAAAGGTTCAAGTTGTGTAATTTTGGGGTGAACTGTCCCTTTAAGATGAAGTGTCACTTCTTTTCCCAGCAGGTGGCAGCAAACCAGATAACTGAGGGAGGATGTTTTTGTGATTGAACAGGAGCCTCCATGAGTCAAGTCAAGTTGAGCTTTATTGTCATTCTGCTGCATGTGGGGACATACAGTGGAACGAAATGTCGTGCCTCACAGGACCACAGTGTTACATAAATACAGGCATACAACAATGAAGTAAAGCAGTAAAAACCTATACAGTAAAGCAGTAAAGTTTAGCCATGTTTCAGTGAAGACAAACACACAACAATCCCTCGTCTCATGCTGTGTAGACCAACTGAGTTGACTGAGTTGAATGAGAACCGCCACCTACAACCATGCTTTTCCTGTGCTACTGCAAACAGCAGAAACTGGATGCCATTTGTGCAACTCTATTAGTGATTTGTATTTCACCTTTGGAAACGGACAGTGTTAAAGAGAAGTAAAGCAGCTGTAAAGCTCTTCATAACGTACTCTAATAGAGCATGACATGCCAGTTGCTATGGCAACGAGCCAATGGCCTTTTCTGAAGCGGCTGGAAGAGAAATGGACTGCAGCAGAATGTTGTGGTCCGGTGGAAGACACACCTGTGCACATGACTCAGTTTCATGAATCCCGCATGAGCAGGCCGACATGGAATCTGCATGCTTTACATTTGTATACTGATTTTTAGAAAAAATATACATAATTCAAAGGATTGTAAAATGTTTAACGAAGATGGAGTAGTACAGTCTTGTTGACCAGATTACAAAATATGTAATAAATAAAAAAAAGTCTAGGTACTTCATCAAATCAAATGATTAAATGAAATTAAATATCAGTCTTTCTACAACAATAGTATCATATACAGATATTCAAGGGCAGGCTTTAAGATGGTTTAGATCCTACCTGTCCGATCGCTACCACTTTGTTTATTTAAACGGGGAGTCATCTCAATTATCACCAGTAAAGTATGGAGTGCCACAAGGATCTGTCCTAGGTCCTCTGCTATTTTCAATATACATGTTAACCCTTGGTAATATTATTAGAAAATACGGAATTAGTTTCCATTTTTATTTAAATTGTTAATTATACTTTATTATATTATTAAAAATATATAAATATTTGATTATTTTTTAAAGGGGTCATATGATGCGATTTCAATTTTTCCTTTCTCTTTGGAGTGTTACAAGCTCTTGGTGCATAAAGAAGAAGTTTGGCCTTCTAAAAGAGGACGATACCTGCTTCGTCATGCCTGGAGCTGATCCGTGCTGGTCGCTGAGGAAATACAACAACTTTGCCCTGTGGATCACCGGATCGGCTTTCACGGTGGACGAAGCGGAGTCCAGCCCGGGGTCGTCACATGTGGTTGCGCAAGCCCGCCGGACGCTCCTTCGTCGAATCTGCCGGCCGCGCCTTTCTCAAGCCCGCCAGCCGTTCCTCACTCTAGCCCTCCGGCCATTCCTCACTCAAGCCCGCCGTCCTCCGCTCACTCTAGCCCGCCGTGTGTGATGCTGTGTGTTTCGTTGTGAAAGCAAAACTACATATAAATATATTTGCATAGATCTGTCTTTATGTTTATATAATTTTATAAACTTCATTTTAATATAAACCTTTTAAATAAAGGACATGGGACAGGGATGTTCAGAATAATCCGGATGTGCAAATCTTTCTGTGGAGCTCTCTGGATACAGATTCTGCGTGGGATTCTGCCCGTGAAGGATAAAGAGACTAGGAAGAGTGTGTGTGTGTGGAAGTGAGGAATGAGAAGGAAGCGGGAGATTTGTCCTCTTAACCTCAGAGCCGAGAGCAGAGGCGGTGAGCTCACTGACGATACTGGCCAGCAGGCCGCAGGTGTTGGACACCAGATGAGGAGAAAAGAGCTCAACCTCCTTCCTCAGACTCTTCCTCACAGGAAGCACCACAATGACAAGCATCTTCTCCAGAACCTCCCGGAAAGTCGTCATGCCCATGAGATTCTCTTCCGTCTGATCAAAATACGATAAAGAGAATTTTGTAACTGCTGAGGCAGATGAACGTCTTATAATGTTCTTTTTAGCAACATCATATGACCCCTTTAAATATTATATATTTTAAATATTTTAATAATATATTAATCATTTTTTTAATCTCTCTATCTCTCTCACACACGCGCACACACACACACAACCGTACATAGTATGACATGCAGGTTTTTCCAACCCTCTGCACAAACAATAAAAAATGACCATAAAAATAACATAGAAATAAAATGTGAAAATGTACACAAGTCAGAATTAAAATGATTTAAATTGTATTATATAAAAATGTACCGGTTCAGGGTCCAAAGAAACTGGGGGAAAGCTTAAATATACAAATATATTAATAAATATAAATATATTACAAATACCTATATTAAATATAAATATTATTATTTAATTTATTTTAAATATATTTAATTTAAATTCGACGTGCGGAAGTTCGCCTCTTGAATGTCCTGGAGGTCGACATGAAGGTCAACGTTATGATCAGTAGAGCCTCTGCTGCATCTAACCGGACTGTGTCTGATACCAGCAAAGTGATGAATGTATTGCTCAGAAATTTGAAAAAGAAAATATATGGAGGCTGTGCCTCTTTTTTCTGAGAATCTCTTTGATTTAGTGTGCCATTGGAGATATTTTAGAGCTCAAATTCATCAGCTCTAAATCTGTCAAGAGGTTCATTTGCAGCGTGGGCTGGGAACTGAGAGTGGTTCAGCTGAAAAAGCATCTCTGTTAAAGAGGCTCTGTAGGTGAATATCACAAAAACATGTCTAGTTCACATTTCACTCCCCCAAAAATATAAGAACTTTAAAAAAAAAAAAAAAAAAAAACAGCTATAAAAAGACAACAACAGAACATATTTTACCACAAATAACCTTACAAAATAGTAAAAATCAGAGTGTAGTTCTTCATTGACCACGTGGACGTTCCATCACTCCACTAACAAGAAGCTTCTAGTTGGTGAGTCATTCTCAAAAAGAGCTGAGATAGTTGGCAGTGACTTAATTAAATTGCAAAATTGTAAATATTCCCCCTTATATTAACACTTTCAGCCAAAATAAAATATACATGAAAATATGAATCATAATTACAATATAATAATAATGACAAAAATAAAATGTACACATTTACAAAATAGCATAATAGTCCATATATAGAAAAATGACAGGCATAGGTTACGCTACATGTATCCTAAATATATATAAAAATACATTATATCTTGCATTATGTTTTTATTTTATTTTTTCATATTTTTATTACAAGTATGCACATTTCCCAACAAATAGAGAACAATTTAATTGAGTTTTGTATTTCACATTATTCTCAATCATTAGATTTCAAATAATTTAATAAAATTACTATAAAGTATTTTATTATAGAGCAAACATTTAAAGCAGTACATTAACAAACAACCACTTTTTACATGATAAAACAATAAATCATTATTTGGTTTTGCATTAGAATAAAAAAAAGAATTTACATTTTAGATTGTAAATTGTTTTGGGGGGGGGAAATGTTATTAATTGTCATGAAAACAATTTCAGTGCAAAACAATAATGGCCTTAATTTGATTTATCCCAAATTTAATAGATTTTTTATTTTTTTTGATTTTGGGTGAAATTCTTGACAAGTTTATTATTTCGATTCATCCATTTATGATTTACAGATTAGAAATGAGGCCACATCAGTAATCTGCTGACTTAAGAACAACTTCAAGCCAAAGTGTTTGGTGGTGGTGATTACCTGGTCCAGGCAGTTGAGCAGGTCGCAGAGGCAAGCCCACTGCAGGGCCGGAGTCGGGTAGAACGAGTGGAAGCAGGCGGTGAAGGTGTTGTGGCACTCTTGCAGCACGGCCTCCAGCAGCGTGAGGGGTTGACTCAGATACCCCTGCGGGTCGTTGTCCAGCTTGGTCAGGCAGTTGTCCATCCCCTCTGACAGGATCTTCTTCAGGAGGCTACGAGTCTTTCCTACACACTCCGCCAGCTTGCTGGACTCCTCCACAACCGCTTTGGTACTGGCTAGATAGGAGACACAAACAGGCATTATAAGACACAATGTGGACCAGACAGTATGACGACAGTCAAAGGACTGAATCCTTGTGCAAGATATTTTATATCTTGGGGTCATATGATGTTGCTAAAAAGAACATTATTTTGTGTATTTGGTGTAATGAAATGTGTTTATGCGGTTTAAGGTTCAAAAAACACATTATTTTCCACATACTGTACATTATTGTTTCTCCTCTATGCCCCGCCTTTCTGAAACGCATCGATTTTTACAAAGCTCATTGGTCTGAAAAGCGAGGTGTGCTCTGATTGGCCAGCTATCCAGTGCGTTGTGATTGGTCGAATACCTCAAGCGTGTGA